TTGCTAAAGGGGGATTTAGTAAAATCAATAAAGCTAACTGGATTGATGACACCAATGAACATGATGAAATAAATTTTAGACGAAAAGGTTCCTTAAAATTTGCACTCAAAAAACTTAATTATTCTAATAATATATCTTCTAAAGAATTAAATAAGGTAGGTATAAGATTTATTTCAATTCAATAATAATATATCATACATTAAAGTCAACAATTTATTTTGTTTTTTTAGCTAAAAATATTTTATAAACTTAATTTAAATTGCAGATTATATAGTTCTTTTCATATAAATAAGTATTATAGAATTACCCGTGATCCTAATAAAGGAAATATAATGTTTATTATGAAATATTATGAATCAGGTGATTTGGAACATTACATAGCCAAAAATTTTCATAATATTGATTGGATTAAAAAGTTAGAAATATTAGATAACATTATAGGAGAACTTGATCATATTCATATTCAAAAATTTATACATCAAAATTTACATAGTGGTAATATCTTTACAGTAATCCTACTAGCAAGCTTCCTGCAGTAATAAGTGATTTAGGAATAAGTCAATCATTAATTGAGTCAACAGATAAAAAAACATTTGTGGTATTATTTCTTATATTTCTCCAGAGATATTTCTAAGACAAAAATATATTACAGCCATGGATATTTATAGTTTTAGTATGATTATGTAGGAGATAATGACTGGCAGAAAGCCTTTTTAGGATGAAATTTATAATACAGAACTTGTTATTAGAATAATTAATAGTTTTCATCCTTCAATTATCACAAATGTACCAGAAGAATTTATTGAATTAATGCAAAAATGTTAGAATTCTAATCTAAATAAAAGACCAATAGCTTCTGATTTAAAAATTAAATTATATAACATAAAATATAATGAATATGAGAACATGATGGAAAATGAGAAAACTAATATACTTGAACCTTAATGAAAAGGCAATTTATAAGAATAGATATTTAAATGAGATGATAAAATCTATAATGTTGATAAGAAATTTAAGAAGCTAATCTATTAATTCAGAATTAGGTAACCATTAAATCAAACTATATGTTTTTTAATAATTATTAATCATAATTTTTTAAAAAAATGAAGGTAAAAGAAGATTAAAAGATGATAATAAAAGTATTAAAAAGAGCCAATTATTTGAAGATAAAAATAATGGTAATTATTTTATGTGTTTAAAATTAATTTAAGATTAAATTGTATCAACTATTTTTATTAATATAAATTATTAAGATTATATATCAAAGGAAATGGAATTAAAAAATAATGAAAGTGGTAATCAAATATACAATATATGTATTTTTTAATTCAATTTATAAAGAATATATTACTAAGGTACTTGCATATAATATTTAGAATTTTTTTTGATGAAATGCAATTAATGGATCTAAATACAAAATAATTTTAAAGATTGTTATAGTTTTTATAAACTTTGGATAATTTATATTATAAATATCAAAAATGCTAAATAACTTTCTTAAATTTTTAACTCAATTTTAATTCACTCTTAACAACAGTTTTCAATATATTAGGTTATAAAGCAAATAATACAAAATATTATTATTGTAGTCATATTGTGAGAGAATCAATAAAAATCATTTTTTGAAGTTAGACATTAAACCTCATTTTTTAATATTTAAATTACTTCATAATCTTCTAAAAAAAAATACCAGCTGTTCTTATTGCTTTTTCAAACACTCTTAATAAACAAAAAAATCATTATAATTATTTTTATCATCATTTCATCCTTTGTAAAGATCATAATAAATTTGAGACCACTAAGAGAATTATAAAATAATGCTTTACTTAATATTGGATCTTTGAAATGATTCTTCCTCCTTAAAAGAAAATATAAAACTATCTTTTGTTTTATCATATTTAATATTATGAGATAGAGATTTCTATATTGAAAGATTATATCCTTCTAGAATTTCTTCAGTTTCTTTTAATTTGATGAATATAACTGTGTAAGGTATATTATCATATAAATTATAAAATATTTCAGGAACAAATCCATCTTAGCTTTCTCTTAATAAGGTAGAAATTAAAAGCAACTTTACTTATATAAGAAATTATATTTACTGTATAGATTTAGATTATTATTAATTCATTTTGAATTATGAAACAATATTCAAATTAACAATTCTTGAATTCAAAAGTCTATCCATCTAGGGATAAAGATACTATATCTTAGTATACTATTTGAATCTAAATAAGAATTTAATAAATCTTTATAAAGTTGATATTTTATAAGTCTTTTTTATAAATGAACTATTTTGATGTATTCATTAGAAGAAAAACTAAAAAATCTAACATAGGTTAAACAGTATTGTAATGATTTTTCCATTATTTTAAAATTATTATCTGTTTAAGTTATATGATCTGAATCCAGTGTAAGATGTTTTTCAAGCCTCAATTTCAATAAATATTAACTTATTTCATTTGTAAATTATATGTTTATCAGAGATAAAGCTCCGAACGGTTCAGTTCGGTCCGGATTAGATGCCAATCCGAATCTGAACCGAACCGCAGACTGGTAAAAATCTGAACTGAACCAGAATTTTCAGATTAATCTGAAATTATGGTTCGATTATATAAGGAATCCGCAATTTATATGCGAAATTCTAGAAGAATCGCAAAAAATCGCGAATTTCTCTTCGAGGTTCGCGAAATTCGAAGAGAAATCGCAATTTTTGTGACTCTCCAAGAGTTTCGCGATAATTTTGCGAAATTCTAAGAGAAATCGCGAAAAATTGCGATTCTCCAAAGTTTTCGCAATTTTTTGCAAAATTCGAAGAGAAACCGCAAAAAATTGCGATTCTCTAAGAGTTTCACTAAATTTTTGCGATCCTCCAAGAGTTTCGCATATAATCGAACTGAATTTTCGGATTAATCTGAAATCATCAGTTCGGTTTTGGATTTTTTTCGGTTCAGATTTGAATTATAATCTGAAAAAAATCCGAACGAACCGAAAATTTTCGGATCGATTTTATGCAATCTGAAACCGAACCGAACCGATCCGAAAAATCTTCGGATTAATCCGAACCATTCGGAGCTTTAATCAGAGAAATTAAAGATTTTTAGGAATTTAAGAAAAATCAGATGATTTAAATACTGTTTCTGATAATTTAGCTATGTAATTTGTACAAATTGTTGAAGTTCAAAAAAAGAATTTGATTAAAAACTCATTCTATTAGTGAGCATAAAATGCCGTTTAATCTAACCAACTTGATTGTATAAAATAATTTTGTAATTAATCAACTTGTTCTTAAAGATAAAGTTCATTAGCAGCAGCCAATATTTTTAAAGTATCATATTCATTTAATAAAATAACACCACCATAAATATACCTATATTATATTATAAAGATTTAAATTAAAATTAAAAAGCAAAATTAAATATTATAACATTAACATAACTTACTTCAAAATACTTTGAAAGATTTCAGTGAAATATTTAGAATCTAATATGAATTAAGAAACCATCATTATTCTTTTCATTGGTAGCCATAGTATGTCGTAAAAATTAAGAATGGTAATACAAAATACCACAGTGTACATGGAATATTTTCACATTTGGATCTTCCCTGCTTCAAATGTAATATCATAATACTCATCATCCTCTAACATTCCAATATAATTTTGACTTAATTTTGTGTTTTTTACTTTTAATTTTAAAAATTTAAAGATTTTAATAAATCAGGAACATTATCATCCTTATTATTGATAAATTAATTAAAGAAATAAGACACCTTTAAAAATTTTTTGAGTGTGTTAAGATAGATTTACAGAAATGGAAGTAATTGATAAGGATGGATTTGACCAAAGTTTACACTGCAGATAGATTTAATTCAAAATTTGAAAAGAGAATGAAATATTTGATTCTCAACAAGTAAGTTGTTTTGAAAAGGTTGATAGATCACAGGAATGTCAGCTGAATTTCTTCATGAAGTACTGTATATTTACATCATGATCATATTTTTTATAATGGCTTAAAATATAGTAGGTTATTATAATTCTGCGTTAAGATTTTGTGGGAATAGCCAAAGATCCGATAGCCGAAGAATTTATTATGTTTTTTAATATTTACAAACATGGGAAATTTGCATCAGAAATCAGAGGCGTGAGTAGGGACGGGACGGTTCTCTCAGTTCCTTTTCGGTTCCTCTTCGATTCTGCTTCGGCTCTACTAAAGTAAATTAAGACTAGTAACGTCAAGTTAAATTTATAAAAATAGAGCATGTTTGATCAATTAAAAAAATTATTTGAATGGTTATCAAACAAATTCGGTATACAATTATCAAAATTTGATGAGGACACGATCTAGAACCGACTCTTTTGAACCTGTTCGGAGTTCCGGTTCGATTTTTAAAGTTGGTAAAAATTGTTTGTAACTTATATAAATTCAGAATATACTGAATTTAGAATCAGTTCCAGAACCGACACTGAGTCGCTCTTTTTTGAACTGTCCCAACCCTAGGTGTGAGGCACGAGTTCTTAATAATTTTCATATTTTATTTTCCTTTTTCTTAAGGTTAACGATTTTTGTAAAAAGAAGACGTGATATTAACGCAGGATTGCAATAAAATGCATGAAGGAAAGGCTAAAATGTATGCAAAGAAATAAAGGATTTTTTCTATTTAAAAACAAATTAAAAAATATTAAACCTGTAAGATACTCATGTTTCGGAAAATGTCTTGCAATAATCGTATGACGCCTTCATAAGTATTATTGGATAATATCTAGTTGATATGAACCCTTATAATATGCTAACATTTTTTATTGGTCGTAAATTTAGTGACAAGGATATTAAATCGTACCCAAAAGAATGTTATTTAACAAAATAGTTTATTTTGTTTGAACAATCGTTGGCACAAATTAGATTATGATCGTAGTAATTGTATTATGAATGAATATCAATTAATCTTTTAAAGTTATTGATATCGAATCAAATTCAAAGGCTAACATAAGAATTGCAAACATGAAAAAATTTTTTCATGATATTGGTAAAGATGAAGTAAATTTCAGAAGCATATCAGTAGATAATACTACAACCTGCTTCAATAACTTCTCAACATTAAGCTTTAAGAGATGCAAGTGAATTTGCCACTTGTATAATTAATGAGGCAAATTTAGCAACTTTTGGATATGAAATCTTGTGGTGAACAAAACATTCTTATAAATATATATGAATTAGTTTGATGTTTCTCTCCTAAATATCGAAAAGAGTCTACTTGAAGTAAAAGACGTAGCCGTTGTTAATGAAAGACATTTTGGCGGAGAAATATTTCGACAATCGGCTTGTAAATTATTTTCATACAAGAATTTAATCGCAAGCACTTTCTTTCGGTTAATAATTAGCTTGTGAACGTACCGTATTAGAGATTACAAACTGCTTGGAAATCTATAGCGTTCCACAAAATCGAAATCACGTATACGGATTTATTTTATATCCGTTAGACGCAAATCGTACTGCGCTTCTGATGACCTAACACTGTGGCGAATTGTCAAAGTAATACGTTTATCATGGAACGTTTGTAACATGTATCGAACAATTTACTTTCATTACTTGTATTATGTAGTTTATTTTTTATTACTTGTTTAGTATTATTTAGTTTCATTAAATGTATAATTTATTCTTATTGAAAGGCATAGTATAGTAGTAGTTAGCAAATTTGTATAAACCGACCTTGAGTCAACAGAGTACAATCAGCTAGTTTTCTGAATAAGCCTTGAAACTATCAGAAAATCTGTCCAACCAGGTCGAACTATAAAATACTAAATATTATAATAAACTAAATAATGAATATATGAAAAAGAAATTAAACAAATTAAACGATTTGTATTTGATAAGTTGTCATGTACTGCGCTCATGTGACATAACGAATATATTTTTCACTACGGAATACTTGGTAGAATGAAAAGCGAAGGGATGTGACACCGGTGACAGAAAATATTACGTGAAATTTCATGATTTTTTTTATTAGTATACGGGAGAAATCAATATGGATTTATTTATTATATCCGGTTCTTTCATTAAGGTTTCGTTCAAATAATAAGAATTAGTTTCAAAAGACATTTATCAAAAATAAAATACAAGGTAAAATCATCTAATAAAAATTTGAAGTTCTGACGAATATGGGAGGCTTGCTATTAAATCACGTTACGGATCATATGATTACTATATTAGTAACTACGATTTTAATAGCAAACCTCCCATATGTTCAGTTTTGGAACAATCCCAGGTTAACACCGGCATAAATCAGAACCGGAGGAAACCGGATATAAATCCGAAGGTAGTGTAAAAATATTAATGAAATGCCTCGCAGGAGGTTGGTTTTCGGTATTATTTATCAAAAAAAAAAATAAATAATCGAAATTTCGTGACGAGCAGTCATTTCCTGTTTTAATCGATTCTCAAGTTTAAGTACTACTATATTTTTAAGGCAATTTCTAATTGTTCACGGGTGCATGCACAAGGGTCACCTGACATTATTTTTCACCATGTGATAGTTATGGATTGACGAATAATAATTTTTAACCGAAAAAATTCTAAATTCCTGAAATAAATAATAAAAACTAAAGGTGGAGGGGAATGACGCAGGTAACAAATATCCTGTCACGTTTACCGGGTACATATACCCCGGGTAAACTTAGTTATTTTTTATTTTTAAATATCTTTATTAATTTTCGTTAGTTCGCAATTTTGGTCAAAAATAAAATAAATGATGCTGTATCACACAAATATATCATTTTATAGAAAGCATTATTTGCTAATCGTTATGTTATGTATGCACCTGTGTGACTAAACTACTCCGTCTTTATATATACATTTAAGGTTAAACTTGCTGCATGCTGGAAATCCATCGGACCTTTGTTTCCGAAAAATAAATTATAACATTGACATTGAATTAACTTTCACTGTAATATCTTCCAAATTTTATTATTAACAAAAATGGAACTTACGAAAAATGAGACATTTGACCCAACCCCAAATTTAAAATCTAGCCCTGTGCCAATTTTGTTTATTTCATTTAATGAAAACGACTATAATTGCAATTATTGTGGACTTAAATTTTCTAGGTCAATTTATGATCGTTACAAATATTGTAAAAGGTGCTTAACTGGGTATATTAAGTATTTAACCGATAATAATATATACTTGGATGTTCGCATGGGTACAAATAACACTCAGTGTAGTGAACATGAACCAAGAAATTCAGATTTTAAGACGCATAAAATTCAAGAATGGTGTTTAAATTGCTCGGAAATTTTATACTTTGATCAAACTTATTATAGATTTAAAAGAATTAATAATCCAAATTACGTCAATGTGTATTTTCGCTGTGGAAATGTTTTATCTGATAAGGAACCATGTTATAATAATCGTTACTTGATTTATAATGGACGAACAGAATCAACAGTCATTAAAAAATCAATTTCAATAATTTATTTGCCAATGTGGGATGCCAGTGACTCTTGTATAATCTGTTATAGAAAACTAAAGTTTGTAACAGATTGTCAAAGTGGTGTACATATTGTTTTGTAATATATACAGGATGTAGATATTGCTTAACGACAAATCTTATATTTGGAATTTCCGATCAATCTCAATGTAGGAAATGCAAGAGAGTAGTATTCATCACCATTGATGTCAAAAATTTTGTCAGTGGAAATGTTAATATAGATGAATTTCTTTATTATACAAAATTTAACAGCTATTGCAAAATTGCTAATCCTCTAATTCTTAACAGTTGTTTTAAAGTTAGTTTTTTTGATTTTCAAAATATTCAACCAATGGAATGGATTCCATATTCTCAAATTACAAGTTTAAAAAAAATAGCAGAAGGAGGATTTAGCATAGTTTATCGAGCAACTAGATAAAATCCTTATAACAATATCAATAAAAGTGAAGTTGTTGCGATAAAAAGAATCTTACACTCTCAAACTATCAGTAAAAGTTTTTTATATGAGGTAAATTTAATATTTTTTACATTTTAATTTAATATATATATTAAATTTTTTTGTTATTATAATAACTTTAGTTAAAATCGTTATATCATTGTCAAAATAACTCGAGCATACAAAAAAATGTTATTCAATGCTATGGGATTACACAAGATCCAGAAACAAAGGATTTTATGTTAATAATAATGTATGCAGGTGGAGGAGATTTGCATAAATATTTACAAAAAAAATTTAAAAATATTACATGGAATGATAAATTAGGTTATTTTATATGAAATTTCACGAGGGTATTTATATTTTTAATACAATTTACAAATGTTGATTTGATTAAGTAATTAATTATATACTAAAAATGTATATACATTTTTTAGACTTTGTGATATTCATAAAAACAATATTATACATCGAGATCTTCATAGTGGAAATATATTATTATCTACTGTGAATTGAATGTGGTATATTGGAGATCTAGGATTATCACAACCCGCAGATGTTTCACTAAATAATGAAATATATGGTGTAATACCTTATATAGCACCTGAAGTATTTAAGGGTGTTAAGTTTTCAAAAGAATCTGATATTTATAGTTTTGGTATGATTATGTGGGAATTAACATCAGGTTGTAAACCTTTTGCCAATGTTGAACATAATATTAACCTTATATATGAAATTATTGATGGAAAACGACCAGAAATTACTCAAGATACTCCCGAATACTATGCTAATTTAATGAAAAGATGTTGGGATCCTGTTCCTTCAAAAAGACCTTTAATAGAAGAAATTAGAGCGTGCTTTATGTATCGATATAAGTATGTTGATAAAAAAGAAATTGACCGATCTGAAATGAAAAGATTGGAATTGATACAGTCAATGAAACTTGGTCCTGAATTTAACGAAAAATCTCATCCAAAAGCAACCTTTATAAGCAGAGCATTAAGTTCTTTGATTTCGAAACTTCATCCATAAATTTATCTATGGAATATGTATATATTACAAAACAAGGTATTTTGTTTAGATGATTATATTGATTTGAATAATCGAAATGATACAATTAATTATTGTTTTATTGATATAGTTTTCTTGGAATATTCAGAGTATACTTCAATAGAATTTGATCTGGATATAAGGTATTAATTAAATTACATTAGAAACAAAACAAATTAATATTTACCTTATTTACTATAATTCTTTAGGTCATCTTTTTTAAATGTGGATCTTGCTAGTCAAAATTCTTCAAATATCCAACGTTCAAAGGCAGTTGATATTAATATATCATCATGTACATATATTTCAAAAAACAATTCTTCAAAAATGCGTGGTATTGAAGAACTAAAAATTGAAAATATAAATAATATTCGTAAGTTTCTTAATATGATATTTAAATATTATATTACACTTGATATAAATTTTATTTTTAAAATAATTAGGGAAACATTAAAATTAATAATGTAAATGAGGTATTGCGTAAGTGAATGACGCGAAGAGAACCAGTTATTTAATAAATGGCGAATTATCTTTTATATGGATTCTAAAGAGAAAACTATAATGTTACAATCTCTTAACATTAAATTTCTTTATCATTGATTCATTACTCTTTCCGTAATTAACTTTGTAGATTACAATCAATTTTAAATAAGTCAAAAATATAAAAATTTTCTGTTTAAATCAAAATAAATCAGATTTAAATGATATTTTTTTAAAAAAAAAAATCATCATGGTCCATACCATATTTTGTCTGTGATCGCCTCCTGATTAAGAAGAGAACTTTTAATTTGTAAAAGTAAATATTAAAACTTACAGCAAAGCTAAACAATAAATAAATAATTTTCTTGACTGAACAATATTATTGTCCGAAGCATAAGGGAAGAACCCTTCTGTTTGAGTTCATATCATGCATCGAACGCATAACGTTGCCCGTTTCTTAGTATAAAATTATTCAGTAAAAATAAATTTAAGTCTCTAAAAAATAACCAAAAAGATAAAAATTAATTGTAACATATTGTGAAGTTATAATCTTCAAACTGTATCTGTTGCCTACGGAGTCAATTTATAAATTGTCATATGTCGTTTGATATGTTGGATATAAAAAAATAAAAGTGTCATATTAACGCACTAATACTATTCCAGGAAATGATTCCATTCCATGATACTTATAAATGAGTTAAAATTTTTTGAGTCCATAATTGCGGTTATTGATATCATAGTTTGAAAATAAAAAATAAAAAAGTTTAACAGATTTAAAGCGCCGCATAAACTAAGACCTCGACAAATCTCGGCTTGGTACACTATAAACAGTCTCGTGTATTTTCAATCTGGCTCAGTCCGAGCTGGCTTATAAAGCTTATTTCTTATCTCCAACATTAATCCAACGATGTATTTGTGGAGAAATGGTTAGACAAACTGTTAAATAACAGAATCTGATCAAGGAAGAAGGTAAGTTTCATTAAACTTTTTTAAAAATTTTATTTAATATTGAAAAACTTTTCTTATATCCGAAGCGTGGAATTCGCTTTGGGAGAGTTTCTCGTGATTGAAATCATTTTCGAAATGATAGGACTTCTCAAGATCATTTTCTTTTCTTGAGAAACATTTTCAAACATTTCATTTAAAGCGAAATGTCTCCTGAAGGGTTTCATTACATTCCGTGCAATGATTGAAATGTAGGCTAGGCAATTATTTTAAGTATATTCTCATTATAATTATACTGTTGAATTGATAAGATTTTTGAATAAATGAATAAATTTCATAGAACAAATCAACTCAACTGAAATTTATTTTTTGAAAAATTACTTAGAGTCAATAAAAAATAAAAATTAAATTATATTATTGAAGTATTTAATTGATGCCCTCACAAACTTGGTCATAACATTTTCAAGAAATTCAATAAATTGAAATATTTATTAAATTCGATTCAATTTTGTTGGAAGGATCATGGTAGTTTCTTACGCGTTCCATTGAAAAAAATTTATGAAAATAAAGGTAATTATGTTCACTTTGCTCAAATTTAAATATAACGAAAGGATGCAAATCATCCATAAACAAAAACGATTCGATTGAATCGTAATCTCTCTCTAACAATTGCTTATATGGTATTTTAACTTAAATATACGATAGTTAAAGTACAATATAATATTTATATTACAAATAGAATTAATTATTATGATAAATCACCGTAACTGATACTAGAGGTTGGAACCGGCCAAAAATTCTTTAACTTAGGTCAGTACTATAAATTTGACATTAGACAATAATTTTGCAATCATAAAAATCTTAACTCTGGCCGGAAATTGAATTTCAGCCGGAGTTAAATTCAACTATTTAACCGGTTAACATGACGTGTTATCCACTTTAACCGGTTCCAAATCTCTAACAGATACATTCGATTGGTAAAAAAAAATTTACAAGAAATAGGTCATTTCTAAATAAAGAAATCACAAAAAAAGACCATTCTAAATAAAAATTAGTAACTATATAAATCCAAGCTAAATTTGTTGCACAGTAAGGTGAAACTAATTATCGAATTTTCAGAAGATTGTAATTTGTTGATGATTATTAAATACAATATCGAGTCCACCGTTCTCAGGAAGAACCGGGTGACTTCGAAAAACAATTATTAATAGGATATGATATTAAAATCTTCTCACTCACTATTGCTATTCTATTATCCCTTCCAAAAGAGGATTCTACCGAAATATATGAATTCGATTATAATATTAATAGATATCAAAGCATATAGATATTCGAAACTCGCACTTTTATTAAAGTTTGATCTCCAACGATGGTTTTCGATAAAAATCGAATTTGGGAATCGCACGCTATTCCGTTTTCCTATAAAACAGCAACATTGATATGTAATTGTGTGAAATTACTTGCAAAGCTAATCCTTCTGTACTTATCTTTGGTCCAGCAGAGCTCCCTTTTTAATTCACACAGATTAATAGGTACAATAAAAATTGGAACTATTGACTTGTTTGACTATTTGTTTTTTTATTATTAAAAGCAATTCATATATTTCCGACACAAGATATAAGAAAATTAAGCATTTAAATTCACTATCAGTTTGTTATTTAATAAAATAAAATGATGCATTTAACAAAGCAAGCGAATCTAAATAGTAATCAATTATAGAAATTTTAAAATGATGATTACTAAAATTATTAAAATTGCAGGTAACATAAACATATTCGCATTTGATAATTTTATATCAACTCTAATTTTTATATAAATGCCCGGATACTTTCTCGCTTCTTCCTCTTTCGCAACCTTCTGTCTTTTGGAAATTCTTTCCGATTGAGGATTCGAATCATTTATATTATTATTCATTTTCGTATTGCTAATAATGAAAATATAATTGGAATAAGCTTCATTTTTAGAATAATATAGTAAAAATGCGTACATTGCTAAATTCAAATACGGTAATGATCCATGTTGATAACGTTCGTCTTTATAATAATTATTCATAATTTAATTGTAGTAAGAATTTTAAGAAATAATTAAAGGAGAACATGACATGTATTTAAATGTAAGTCGTGTTGCTTAAATAGGTAAAATGACAAATGACGAAATGATCTGATCAGTCATCATAATCACATCACATGATTAGGGTCTGTTGTTTATCATGAACGTCTGAAGAGAAATTTAACTTTTTAAAGATGACTTTCTTGATGTCTGGTATGTAATATGGTTTAAATTTTTGTAAAAACATTAACTAATTTTGCCTTTTTGTATTCAAGTAAGCCTTTGCAAATAATAATTGATCGACGCGAAAGTACGTATCCTTTCTGTAAGCTGTCAATTTTTTCTGCGTGCGCGAAGTTCTCAATAGTAAAGAAATCTGGAAGGTTCAGGCGAGGAATATGAAGGCTAATACGTAAAGAAAGGTAAACAAACAGGTGCGGAGGACCTAGCAATAGCCAAATATATTTATCAGCCGCGCACGTGTTGTCGATTTGTGTTACATACGAGTTTTTATCAAATAGTTAATTAAAAATTACATTTTAATCGAAACTTAATTCATCAAAACTAAAAATCAATAAATTATATTTTAATAAAAAAAAAAAATAAAATTTTTTGTGAAATTTTCTTCGGTGTATAAAATTCATGTTTGCATCATTTGATAAAATATGATTTGCGTTTTTTTATGTGATTAATATAATGTTTCGGACGCTCCAACGGTTTCCGTTACCTAGTTTATAGTTAATTTCTTTTATTCCCGGAGACGACACTTATCAATACCCAAATAAACGATGTAAAGAAACTTTCGGAGGATCGAAAATGCAGTGATGGCAAGTGACCCAAATTGACCTCAAATGACTCAAATGACTGGTCATGTGTCATTTGGATCATTTCAACATTAAATGACAAATCACAATAATTCTGGTCAAAATAATTAATGTAATTTATGATTCGAACGTTTTCATAAATATTTCACGTGATATAAATTTTTAATTCTGACCAGCATATAGAATTTGGTCTGTATTAAATTTAAATGACCAAATGACTAGGTCATTCGATGGTCATTCAGAGGTCATTCAAAATTATCAAATGACCTGGTCATTTGCCATCACTGCCAAAATGAACTCAAATCCCAATCCAAAAAAAATCTCCATTTATTACCGTTTCCATTTCCAGGTTATAAGAATCTGGTAGAGAGCTTCGGTATTAATGATGAAAATTTTCTTATATGGAAGAAAATAATTTTGCAATATCCAAGATTGATTAATTATTGAGAAATTATAGGTTGCTTTATTTATTGAATAATTGGGTATGGGAGGTCGTCTATCCTTGCAGCAATTACATGTTGTTCGTGTATTATAACTTCCCTATTTTCGCCAACTGGCCAAGTATCAAAATGTATCAGCCTTGTTATTCACGATAATATCGCAAGGGAAGAAATTAGGGTGTGCAATAAAGGAAGTCGAAACCTTAAATTGACTAAGCTAGACGCAATCAAATGCATAATGACGTATATTGACGATTTGCTATGATAAGAATTTACAATATTCTGAATATGGGTTGAATAAACATGAAAAAAAAAATAAGGAATGTTAGAATTTGATTAGTCGCAAAAAAAAAATGTTTTAAAAACAACCTGAAAGATTTGGAGAGAAGAATTGAAAATTTAGAACAAAGTAAAGCGAATGATGATTATGAAAGCCAATTTCTACTTGCCAATTTAGGTGATAAGGATATAGAATATTTAAACAAATTGTTAGCAGGACGGAAACACACTGAGATGTTAGAAGAATTAAATGAACAAAGACTAGTTATTCAAAGCTTAAATTTTAATTTTAAGTTAAAAGAAAGTGAACTTAATTTTTTAGATGAAAGGGTTAAATTGCTAGAAAAAGAAACCAAAGCCAAGCAAGAAAATATTGATTATTTAAAAGAATTGATTAGTGTGCGAGACAAAGTAATCAAGGCCATGCGACTTAGACAAACACAATATGAAACAAGTAGATTAAATGAAACAAGTGTAGACATTGCGGAAGACATATTAGAAACTAACGAATATGAAATTTGCTCAAAATAATATATTTTCTTTTGTATTTTATTGGTCCTTATCGTCATTTCAAATTCCTAAATTTTTTTTATCTACATGGATTTATAAAATGCTCACAAATTTTACCTTTTTCATCTTTAATCACCGTAAGAATTTCTTCACACCATTATTTTATTTTAATGCTTGACTTTCCTTTATTACTTAAGTTCAACATTACCGTAAACGTTTCCTTCTGTATTCTTGCTTTACTTTCTCATTACCAAATTCCAAAAGAAACTTCAAAATCGATTAGCTAGTAAGGACAAATGTAGATAAACTTTAATCTTCCACATTCGCAAATATTTCATTCAAACACAAGTTAATATGACATTTGATAAATTATTTCATAAATAATTAAAATTAATGTGTTTATATTCCATAGTTTTCTATAATTTTAGTTGGTTAAACAATTTGTAATCATATAATAAAAAATTCGAGTTTCTCATGGAAATAATGCAATAAATCAATTAGATCACAGAAATGTTTTTTTCACAAATGGATCAGTCAATTGTTATCTTTATGGCCAGATACATTTGATCTCGTTAGACGTCATTCTCTTCAAGTGTTACAATTGAATGTAATTCTGGCCAAAATCTCTATAATTCTGCATGAAAATCGCTTTGATATTTGCAGTTAGTCCTTTGATGATTATTTACCAGGTGTGGCACAGTGCTAGGATAACAAAATGCTCAAAACGTTAGGCTGGCCTAACTATTTTTTTTTTTATATATACGAGCTGGAAATCCTTTAACAGCTCAATATCCACGCTCGCCCTTGTGATATTTTTTGAATACATTCCCTTCGAAATCCCTTCTTTTACACCTCCGCGATATTTTTCGCTTTCGTAACTTCTTTTATTATTATTTTTTATTTATTTTTAATTTCCGATTTAATTAGGATTTTATTATTCAATGTTTATGTAATTGTTTCGTATTTGCGCAGTTTTAATTAAAAAGAATTTTGTTACTTGGCATTTATATAATTTAAATTATTGATAAAGCGAAAGTGTAGAGCACCGACGTTGAGGAAACATTGATAAATTTGATAATATTAAATAAATAATTTGTCATTATTACTTCATTTTTTTCAATCAACACCTTATACTTACAATACAATTTGTTTATATAATACAAAAACGAAAAAACTGAATACAACTATAGATCAAAATCGTTTAAAAATTCATGAAATGTTAACTGAAATCCATAAGGCTAGTAATCCATGAATGTATTATTTCGTTGGAAATCAGATTACAATATATAATGTGATGTAAGGTTGCCGGGAAACCCAAAGGTTTCGACAAGAAACATGTCGAAACCGTTAAAACGTATCATCAAACCCGTCAAAACTATTGTAACCAAAAGTTTTTTGACTTTTGCCAAAATGGGATTAAGGATATGCTTTGCAACCTTAATGTAGTTATATTCGATCAATTGTTTTTACTCAACAAATATTTGATAACCCTGAAGATCTCTAGAGTGCACATTTGTTACCATATTTCCAATACTTTGAAGCAGAGAAATTTATAAATTTATATTAAGAAAGGTAGTCAAAAATAATAAACGTAGGAATATGTAACTGTCCAATAGTCGTATAATTTGGATCTTATCAAGAGCATATCCATTTTATTCTTTCCTAACCAACATATATACAGCTTGTTGAATTTTGATATTTCAATTGACTCTGCATTTCGTACCACATATATTCGCAATAAAGTTTCTCATATTGGAATCCTTTACTAACGATTTTATAATTGGTTCTCTTAGATCAAAAAACAACAAATAAAATCAGCGCAAGTCTGCTGACTCCAATTCCCTTATAGCCACTCATTCTTTTCAGAAGATCAAATATTTGTTTATTTCCGATATATATTTCCCATTTGCTTGATGTCGATTTAGAGATGATTAGAAAGCGCATGTCAGCGATGTGTGAAAGAGTATTAATAATCCGAACTTGAACACTGTATTTATAAGCCACAAATCATTAGTTTGATCATAAGAAAGTATCTATTTGAAATTGAAATATAACTAGCAATTCAAATTAACACAAAATTCGATGAGTTCACTATATAATTTATGTAGAAACCTAGTAGGGTAATTCGCAACATTGGCGATAAATAAACTTAATAAAGTTCAGAATTGATAAATTTAGAAAGTATACTATATAAAATTTACTAAAGTCAAGTATCTCATAAACAAATAATCATACTTTTCTAATATATAACGTAGGTTACAAAAATAAACATTATTATTTGAAAATACTTGATGATCCTATTAAAACTATATAATTATACATTAAATGCATGTATTTATCTTTTATTAACTTGAAATACCTCATAATAATCTACTTGAATCTAACTGTTGGAGCATCAATTTGAGAAAAAGAATTTGATTAAGCATGACAAGAATTATTACCATCAATATAAATATCATTATTAATAAACCATGGACCATATCCTTGACCACCTAAAACAGCATATTGAGAATTGCCATCCTTAATATAACCTATTTTTGAAGTTTGAAGGTTAGTTCTATTTACGAATAAGAAAATAAAACTATCTTTAGTAGTTTATATTGATTATTTCCTTCACACCCAAATGGATTATATTCTCCCACTATTTGTTCAGTTCCATTAATTTTAATTATGACCATATTGGCCTCTACGTTATCACATTATTGATGAAATTCTGCATTTGTATTACCATCCATCCCTACTTGCATGATAAAGTAATTTAATCTTGATAATATATTTTCTCTTATCAATCCAACCGGAAAATATAGCAAAATGCCACAATTTAACAAGGATTGAATCACATTTTAACTGTCTAGATGGTTGCATATTAATATTCAATTTTTTACCTGATGCAAAAGAATATGCTAAAAGGTTAATTAACTACAAATCCTGTAATAAACTTTTTCAAGAA